CACACCCACAATTACACATACACTCATATACAGTCGCACATACACCTACATATATATGCCCACATACTTACAACATACGTACATACAAACACAAACCTACTTACAAACCTTAAAATACATACATATTTCTACATACATACACACACACTAACAATCACACACACACCTACATAATACATATAAGTAAAATAATAATGCATGTAAATTATTAGCTACATCTATGGTGGCATATAATCACTAGTAAGCATGAATTTAAAAAGGCTGCGGTTAAATGAGTACATACTCATATTTTTTAGATCGAGTGGCAGGTGATTCCATAAATGTGCAGCAGAATATGACAAACTTGTTTTATATAGATCTATTCTAGGCTTTGGCAAATGCAATAAATTTAGGCGTTTGCTGTTCTTAGGGTTGGTGTGAATTAACCTGAAAAGATAATCTGCAGTGTTCTGAGCTAATATTTTATGAAAAAAGTTACCTTTATTAAAAATTAATCGTTTATTAAATGGGAGAATTCTTAGATGGCTATAGAGATGATTTTTGTCAGCGTGCGTGCTTTCTATCTGAGACTAGGTGTAAAGCGCGATTTTGTAGAGAACACAGTCGTTTTAAGTTGGATTTGGAGCAACCATCCCAAACCGTGGAACAATAGTCAATATGGGCTTGAATGTAAGATACATAAAAAAGTTTACGTGTGCTCTGATCCAGAAAGTTTTGAATTTTGGCTAACTGATAAACTTTTTGTGCTACTTTCTTGGTTATGGCATGAACATGAGAACACCAAGTTAAATTGCTATCAATTATAACACCTAATGTTTTGTGTTCATTAACATTACTAATAAGTAATTTGTCAACATAGAGCTCAAGTGGAGGCTTGTTTAAGTCCAACATCTGTAACTTTTGTCTGGTTGCTATTATCATAGATTTAGTTTTAGTTATGTTAATTTGCATGCGATTAGCATTACTCCATTTAATAAGCTTATCTAGTTCATTCTGTAATGAACATCCTAACTCATCATAGTTCTCATTATTAGTGTATATAGTACAGTCATCTGCAAATAAGTCACATGTTATGCTAAGATGTAGCGGAAGGTCATTAATATATGTGGCAAAAAGCAATAGTCCAAGTACTGAACCCTGAGGAACGCCAATATTTAGCTGTGTGGAATCTGAAAGGCAGTTCTCAAAGGAAACTACTTGTCGTCGATCAGACAAGAATGACTTTATTAAATTTACTAAATAGTTGTTAGTTTTTAAGGTAATTAATTTGTTAATTAAAATATCATGATCAACCATATCAAATGCTTTCTTAAAATCAACAAAAACTGCTCCACACATCTTGCCATTGTTGATGTTAACATGCCAGTTGTCTGTCATTTTTGTCAAGGCAGTATGACAAGAGTATTTAGGCCTGAACCCTGACTGACTATCGATGATTAGATTGTTGCTATTTAAATGCTAAAATATTATTTTGTGTATGTGTTTCTCTAAAGGTTTTGATAGTGATGATAGTAAAGAAATTGGTCTATAATTACCCACAGAACTTTTATCAGTTTGAGCCAGGTTTATACATTATAGGATAAACTTATTTTGCAACTTTAAATGCAGAAGGAAAGTAGTTCTTGGCAAGACAGACTGATTATAGCATATGCATTTGTCATCACTAAATGATGCCAATCGCTTAAGTCACTCTGTGCCTCTGGTATGGTGGATTTTAAATTTTCTAAAGTTGATAAACGTGCTCTAGCTGTGCGTTTCGCAAATCATTTAAAAATACTTCTGAATTAAAGGTTTTAAAATTTCTAAATTTAATTGTGAGGTGCCTATCTTTAGGGGGCCTAAAGCCAAATTTAGACCATGTACAGCACACCGGATAATGGTCGCTAACTGCTGTAACAGGAACCGTGCATTCAATAATATTTTCTGGACAGGAGACATAAATATGATCAATGGTGGTTGAAGATGTTTTTGTAACTCTTGTGGGAAAGTTAATTAACTGTTTAAGGTTATATGATATAATTATATCCCCCCACGTCTGGTTGGGTTTATTGGTATCAATGTTAAAGTCTCCTAGCAGTATAATTTCTTTTCCTAAACTAAACACTACATCCATCATAGAAGTGAAGTCATCATACCAATCAATACCTGCACAAGGATTTCGATACAAGTACCCAATGAAAATGAACTGCTGATTTGATGGCTTGACTTCTAACCAGACACACTCTACAGCTATAGATTCAAGATCACATCTATGGGAATATTTGATACAGTTTGAAATGTACACTGCTATCCCTGTCTCTAATTTTCTTATTGCATCTTTGCGAATTAATTTAAATCCCTTAATAGTGGTTTCATTATCATTAATTTTGTTGTTTAGACGACTTTCGGTGACTCCAAAAATATGAAACTGATTGTTAAGTCTAACCGACAGCTCAGGCAGTTTGCCGAGTAAATGGTAAATATTAAGATGCCCTATTCGCAGGCCATCCTTGCTAAGCCACTGACTATGATTAGTGAACATTAAATTTTGTGCTGAAGACATCATTTATACAGTAATATGAAACCATTTCAAAAAGTAGTTAATAAATACTGCTCCTTGGTGGAACAGGGTAGTGTCTCCATTGGAGCGACATCATAAATGCTTGATGAAGAGCTGCAGGATTGAACTGGATAAGGTACTGAAGTTCAGAGTTCCAGGTATAGGTGACCATGCCTAGCGTCCATTTTGACCGGAAGTTGTGAGGATTTATTAGCGGTCACCCCAGTGATGCCCTTGTGCTGCGAAAGGGGCCAGGGATGTAACGCTTAACAGCAAGGTGTCGCCCCTGTTCGACCTGACTGCCTTCATTAACGATTGTACACCCCACAACCATTCAGTTCTTTGGCACGAAGGAGACACCTTAAACTTGGGGTCTGGACTACTGACTCTCTACATGCTCACAAGCATGTGCTAATGGTGTACCAAAGTTATCATGTTTCTCTCATATACCTTTAGCCTTATGCTCCAGCATACATTTATAAATAATATACTATTGTCATGCATTCATGCATACACACACTTAAACAAACTAGTAACAGTTGTGACAACAATTAATAATAATTAACATTTCGCAAGCACTCACACATCAAAGAGGAGGAGAAAGACAGATCACTAAATGACTCATTTCTTCAAGATTTAAAATGTTTATCAATGCTTCTGTACAGTAATCCCCAAGTATTTGGTGTAGGGTCAATGTTTTTATCTTGAGGCCTCAAACAGATGCCGCTCGGTGCAGAAAATGTTGTACTGTATTAATCATATCTTGTAATGCAAACCATACCATGATGTCAGTGCCTGAATACAGTGTATAATCTCTTGCAGTAGAGCCATGTTCAAAGTGATCAGTTACTGTTGGGCGTGAGCGTTACCTAAAGACTTGACATTACTCAGCTAATCCTAGACAGTTTGGCAAGTGTGCATTGGAGGCCCAGCAGAAGGTAGAAGGCAGCCTGGACACTGTGTGCGTCAAGCAAAACTCACTAGATCAGTTGAAATTTAACAGCAACACTCACTATATCTGTTAAAATATAACAGCAACACTCACTAGATCAGTTGAAATATAACAGCAACACTGACTAGATCAGTTAAAATTTAACAGCAACACTGACTATATCTGATAAAATATAACAGCAACACTCACTAGATCAGTTGAAATATAACAGCAACACTGACTAGATCGGTTAAAAAAGAACAGCAACACTCACTAGATCATTTAAAATATAACAGCAACACTGACTAGATCGGTTAAAATATAAAAGCAAGCAACACTCACTAGTTGTCAAAAAAAAAATAACAGCAATAATTATACAGCAGCTAATTTTTGACTGCAACACACACTAGATCAGTTTAAATATAAAATATATGACTGCAACACTCACTAGATCAGTTAAAATATAACAGCAACAATTAACACACCAGCAAATATATGAGTGCAACACACATTAGGTCAGTAAAAATAAAACAGCAACAATTAACACACTAGCTAATATATGACTGCAACACACACTAGATCAGTTAAAATATAACAGAAACAATTAACACACCATTTAATACATGACTGCAACACACACTAGATCAGTTAAAATATAAAATATATGAGTGCAACACACACTAGATCAGTAAAAATATAACAGCAACAATTAACACACCAGCTAATATATGAGCGCAACACACACTAGATCAGTTAAAATATAAAATATATGAGTGCAACACACACTAGATCAGTAAAAATATAACAGCAACAATTAACACACCAGCTAATATATGAGTGCAACACACACTAGATCAGTAAAAATAAAACAGCAACAATTAACACACCAGCTAATATATGACTGCAACACTCACTAGATCAGTTAAAATATAACAGCAACAAATAACACACCAGCTAATATATGAGTGCAACACACACTAGATCAGTTAAAATATAACAGCAACAAATAACACACCAGCTAATATATGAGTGCAACACACACTAGATCAGTTAAAATATAACAGCAACAAATAACACACCATTTAATATATGACTGCAACACACACTAGATCAGTTAAAATATAAAATATATGAGTGCAACACACACTAGATCAGTAAAAATATAACAGCAACAAATAACACACCAGCTAATATATGACTGCAACACACACTAGATCAGTTAAAATATAAAATATATGAGTGCAACACACACTATATCAGTAAAAATATAACAGCAACAATTAACACACCAGCTAATATATGAGTGCAACACACACTAGATCAGTAAAAATAAAACAGCAACAATTAACACACCATTTAATATATGACTGCAACACACACTAGATCAGTAAAAATAAAACAGCAACAATTAACACACCATTTAAAATATGACTGCAACACTCACTAGATCAGTTAAAATATAACAGCAACAAATGATCAAATCAGGAGAGAACAAAAATAAGTAACACCAGAGAACAAGAAGATACTCACTCTAGACCTTGAATGACCTGATGACTTTGCCAAGTGTGGCTTGGAAGGCACAGTTCTGACAACACCTGATCCACCAGTCAATGATTTAGATGATACAACCTTGCCTCCAAAACCTTTAGGAGATAATGCACCTTTTCCTGTGCTAAGTTTCCGTCTATCAGGTGAAGAACACACAGTAGCAGTTGTATCAGTTTGCCTGCAGGCTTCTTTGTTGTCTTCTAGTGGCATAGCAGCAGCAATGGGGGAAAAAAACCAATGTCTACAGCATATCAGACATTCACTTTAGGTCCTACAGCATATCAAACATTCACTTTAGGTCCTACAGCATATCAGACACTCATTGTTGGTTCTACAAGGTCCGACAATTAAGTAATGAGACTATTTCCATAAAAATTACAATAATCAACAGCTGAAGAAATAACCTGTATTTTATTCACAGTAAGCCCATTGTGCATTGATCTAACAAACACTGGAACGACATCTGTAGTTCTTCTGTTGGTATGGCCCTTAAAGACAATGTTACAGCCCTTTGGATGTCATCAAAATAGTCAAAGAAGTATCCTGGCAATGGTAACTTTAATTTTGCGAATAGAAAATAATAACTCGGAGACAAATCTGGGGAGTAGGGTGGATGGTTGAGAACACACACTTGTTTTGGGGCCAAAATTTCCTGTACAACTACAGCCCTTTGAGCCGGTGCATTGTCACGAAGAAGAAACAAACCGTCAGCGTTGAAAAGAAACCGGCAAGCAACTTTTTCCTCCCAAATATTCGACTAAAACTTTACGAATAGTCTCTGTATTAACACTAAATTCATCTACCATCATTCTCACAGTCGAACAATGATCTTCTTGTATCCGTTCTCAGAATTTTGCAATGAGTTTCTCATTACGAACAGAAATTGATCGTCCAGGTCTAGTTGCATTAGTAATCATTTCCACACCACTTTTGAAAGGTGAATACCCGGTAAAAATCTGTGCACAAGATAAAAAATTATCCCCATAAACTTATCGAATCAATTCAGCTGTTGCAATGGCACTTTTGCTGAGTTTTAAACAGAATTTAATGTTAGCTTTTTTGTGTGCTCCATGCTGATTATGTAACAATGCACCTCTGACTAGGTTTTTAAAAAAAAAACGTGGTCTGTTTGTTATCTGCCCTATCAGGAACCATAGTATTTGGGTTCTTATCTTGTCATTTGATTTTGAGCAGCTTTCTGAGACAAATTAGATGAAACTAATACAACCTTTTAGCATGCCACTGATACACAGACCCCGTTTCCCAAACATAGAGCAGTACTGAAAGAATTACAGCTTTGTATAATATGAGAACAGAAGGGGAGAGGAACTTTCATTGCACTAGGGAATTTGTGGAGGTCAACAGAAATTGAAACTAATAACTAAAACTTTTAATTCTAATGTCAAATCAGTACTGTTGTAGGGAACGGAAACATGGAGAACAAAAAAGGCAATTACTAATAAACTACATTCATTCATTAACTGGTGCCTGCACATAATTTAGGGAATTAGGTCACACGCTGAGTAAACCTGAGAAAAATATAACTGGAATGTCTTTGAACTGGAACTCACTGCAACAAAGAAATAATAGAAAACCTGAGAAAAATATAACTGGAATGTCTTTAAACTGGAACCCACAGCAACAAAGAAATAATAGAAAACCTGAGAAAAATATAACTGGAATGTCTTTGAACTGGAACCCACAGCAACAAAGAAATAATAGAAAACCTGAGAAAAATATAACTGGAATGTCTTTGAACTGGAACTTACAGCAACAAAGAAATAATAGAAAACCTGAGAAAAATATAACTGGAATGTCTTTGAACTGGAACTCACAGCAACAAAGAAATAATAGAAAACCTGAGAAAAATATAACTGGAATGTCTTTGAACTGGAACTCACAGCAACAAAGAAATAATAGAAAACCTGAGAAAAATATAACTGGAATGTCTTTGAACTGGAACTCACAGCAACAAAGAAATAATAGAAAACCTGAGAAAAATAGAACTGGAATGTCTTTGAACTGGAACTCACAGCAACAAAGAAATAATAGAAAACCTGAGAAAAATATAACTGGAATGTCTTTGAACTGGAACTCACAGCAACAAAGAAATAATAGAAAACCTGAGAAAAATAGAACTGGAATGTCTTTGAACTGGAACTCACACAGCAACAAAGAAATAATAGAAAACCTGAGAAAAATATAACTGGAATGTCTTTGAACTGGAACTCACAGCAACAAAGAAATAATAGAAAACCTGAGAAAAATATAACTGGAATGTCTTTGAACTGGAACTCACACAGCAACAAAGAAATAATAGAAAACCTGAGAAAAATATAACTGGAATGTCTTTGAACTGGCTCACAGCAAAAAAGAAATAATAGAAAACCTGAGAAAAATATAACTGGAATGTCTTTGAACTGGAACTCACAGCAACAAAGAAATAATAGAAAACTAAACAACAATAAGAGAAGGGAGCTAGAGAGTGGAGTTAAAAAGATGGGTATCAAATGGGGAGAGCTGCATGCAAAAGCAAAGGATAGAACGACTTGGCCTGAGTTGGTTGAGAGCCTATGCTCCATTGGAAATTAGAAGGCAGAAGAAGAGTAAGTGTTGAGGGGCAGCAGGCAACGTGCATGGGGGTTCATAGCAAAAGTAAAAGGACATCGCTTAGTGCAGCAAAGTCTTGCATTTGATATCACAACGTCTAGTTTGAGAATGGAGGTGAAAGCAGTTTCTTCTGCAATCCTCTGGTTTAAAAATCAGCTGTACACACATGTGGTGGTTGTAACTGACTCACAGAGCATGCTGAGAAAGTTTTAAACAGGCATGCTCCGTGCAGAGTGGCAAGCATCGCTTCAGAGGTCCCTGCTAGTTAGCATCCTTTGGATATTTTCTCCAGGTTATGCAGGTGTGTTGGGAAATGAGCAGGCAGATAGACTGGCCGGCTCTGTACCACTTGGTGGTGAATCGATGTAAAAAGTTAGATATTGTGAAGGCCATGTGGGAAGGGGTGGACAGTTTGAAGGTGCAGGTAGATGGTTACGGGCTGAGGAGAATGGCGCTGCATGGAGTTACAGGGGCATCTGGTCGACGCTCTACACTTAGGGCAAGGATGAGACAGATATACAATCAGACGCTACTGTTACTATTGGAACTGGAACTCTTCGCCTGCTGCCAAAGATGGGGACAGAGCCCTTATGGGAGTGTCCAGAGTGCTGTGATGTTGATTCTTAATTCAACATTTAATATTGTCGAACATCTCCACATAACTGTTCACAAATGTAATAGTTAGCTTTCAGTCTGGCTGTAGACAACAAACATCTCCACATAACTGTTCACAAATGTAATAGTTAGCTTTCAGTCTGACTGTAGACAACAAACATCTCCACATAACTGTTCACAAATGTAATAGTTAGCTTTCAGTCTGGCTGTAGACAACAAACATCTCCACATAACTGTTCACAAATGTAATAGTTAGCTTTCAGTCTGGCTGTAGACAACAAACATCTCCACATAACTGTTCACAAATGTAATAGTTAGCTTTCAGTCCGGCTGTAGAAAAAACAAAGAGACCAACAAATGTAGTCAGCTTTCACAGTCTGGCTGTAGGAAGAAACAAGAGACAGACAAAACTGGTTACCTTTTAAAGTTTTGATGCCGGCCACATGAGGTGTTGATATCAGTGCTGCTAATGGTGGCTGAGCCATGGGTGTGACAGAAAGCAGTTGTCCAGTGTCTAGAGAACTCATACCTACATCAGAGCTACCCCCAACTACTGTGCTAGCCACAGCGGCCGTGAATTGTCCAGGATTTTGCCCGTAAAGCATCACTGTGTGTCCTGCTGCAACAGTAGATGATGTTAACATGGTTGCTATGCTGGAAGTTTTCATTCGTCCTCGCTCAGTTTTTACCAAGCTACTCTCAACCAGTTCATCATCAAATTTTTTTCTTTTAATAGAGCGTGTTGAGCTTCTGCGAACTGGAACAATGTTGCTGAAACAGATAATGGAACTTTGTTGCTAAAACAGATAATGGAACAATGTTGGAGAAACAGATAATGGAACATTGTTGCTGAAACAGATAATGGAACAATGTTGGAGAAACAAATTATGGAACAATGTTGCTGAAACAGATAATGGAACAATGTTGGAGAAACAGAAAATGGAACAATGTTGGAGAAACAGATAATGGAACAATGTTCTTGAAACAGATAATGGAACAATGTTGCTGAAACAGATAATGGAACAATGTTGGAGAAACAAATTATGGAACAATGTTGCTGAAACAGATAATGGAACAATGTTGGAGAAACAGAAAATGGAACAATGTTGCTGAAACAGATAACGGAACAATGTTGGAGAAACAGATAATGGAACTTTGTTGCTAAAACAGATAATGGAACAATGTTGGAGAAACAAATAATGGAACATTGTTGGAGTAACAGATAATGGAACAATGTTGCTGAAACAGATAATGGAACAATGTTGGAGAAACAGATAATGGAACATTGTTGCTGAAACAGATAATGGAACAATGTTGGAGAAACAAAAAATGGAACATTGTTGGAGAAACAGATAATGGAACAATGTTGCTGAAACAGATAATGGAACAATGTTGGAGAAACAGATAATGGAACATTGTTGCTGAAACAGATAATGGAACAATGTTGGAGAAACAGATAATGGAACAATGTTGCTGAAACAGATAATGGAACAATGTTGCTGAAACAGATAATGGAACAATGTTGCTGAAACAGATAATGGAACAATGTTGAAGAAACAGATAATGGAACAATGTTGGAGAAACAGATGATGGAACATTGTTGGAGAAACAGATAATGGAACAATGTTGGAGAAACAGATAATGGAACAATGTTGGAGAAACAGATAATGGAACATTGTTGGAGAAACAGATAATGGAATAATGTTGGAGAAACAGAAAATGGAACATTGTAGTTGAAACAGATAATGGAACAATGTTGGAGAAACAGATAATGGAACAATGGTGGAGAAACAGATAATGGAACAATGTTGGAGAAACAGATAATCGAACAATGTTGCTGAAACAGATAATGGAACAATGTTCTTGAAACAGATAATGGAACAATGTTGCTGAAACAGATAATGGAACAATATTGCTGAAACAGATAATGGAAAAATGTTGGACAAACAGATGATGGAACAAATATATATCTCAT